TTATTATTTTTTTTTTTTTTTTTGAGACGGAGTCTTGATCTGTCACCCAGGCTGGAGTGCAGTGACGCAATCTCGGCTCACTGCAAGCTCTGCCTCCCAGGTTTATGCCATTCTCCTGCCTCAGCCTCCCGAGTAGCTGGGACTACAGGCCCCTGCGACCACGCCTGGCTAATTTTTTTTCTATTTTTAGTAGAAACAGGGTTTCACCAGGTTGGCCAGGATGGTCTCGAACTCCTGAACTCGTGATCTGCCCGCCTCAGCCTCCCAAAGTGCTGGGATTACAGGCGTGAGCCACCACACCCAGCCAACTACCCAGATACCTAATCCTCAGAAGTAGTGTGAGATAATGTTTGTTGTTTTAGGCTGCTAACTTTAGAGTAGTTTGTTATGCAGAAATAAATTATCAGTACACTTTGGTATTAACACTTTTTACTGAAGTGTTGTCTTAGTCCATTTGGGCTGCTATAACAAAATACCTGAGACTAGATAATTTACAAACAATCAACGTTTACTCCTCACAATTCTGGATGCTGGGAAGTCCAAGATCAAGGCATCAGCAGCTTTGGTGTATAGTGAGGGCCCATCCTCATTGATGGCATCTTCTATGTGTCCTCAAATGGTAGAAGAGGCAAACAGATTTAGGCTATCTCAAGTCCTTTTATAAGGGCAGTAACTCCAATTTTTTTTTTTTTTTTTTTTTTTTGAGACAGGTTCTCTGTCACCCAGGCTGGAGTGCAGTGGCATGATCCTGGCTCACTGCAACCTCTGCCTCATGGGTTCAAGCATTTATCCTGCCTCAGGCTCCTTAGTAGCTGGGACTACAGATGTGCACCACCACACCAGGCTAATTTTTGTATTTTTAGTAGGGACGGGGTTTCACCATGTTGGTCAGCCTGGTCTCGAACTCCTGACTTCAGGTGATCCACCTGCCTTGCCCTCCCAAAGTGCTGGGATTACAGGTGTGAGCCACCCTGCCCAGCCTTTTTTGTTTGTTTGTTTTGTTTTTTTGAGACAGAGTCTTGCTCTGTCTCCCAGGCTGGAGTGCAATGGCACAATCTCAGCTCACTGCAACCTCTGCCTCCTGAGTTTCACCATGTTGGCCAGGCTGGTCTCGAATTCCTGACCTCAAGTGATCCACTGGCCTTGGCCTCCCAAAGTACTGGGATTACAGGGGTGAGCCACATGCCCAGCCCACTAATCCCATTTACGACGGTGAAGCCTTCATGATCTAGTCATTTCCTAAAGGGTGAGATTTGGGTGAGGGCACAACCAAACCATATCACAGGTGCAGTGGCTCATGCCCATAATCCCAGCTTCTCAGGAACCTGTGGTGGGAAGATTGTTTGAAGTCAAGAATTTCAGACAAGCCTGGGCAACAAAGCAAGACCTTGTCTCTAAAAGATATTTTTAAAATTAGCTGGGCTGGGTGCAGTGGCTCATACCTGTAATCCCAGCACTTTGGGAGGCCGAGGCAGGTGGATCGCCTGAGGTCAGGAGTTCGAGACCAGCCTGACCAACATGATAAAACCATATCTCTACTAAAAATACAAAAAGTTAACTGGGCATGGTGGTATGAGCCTGTAGTCCCAGTTACTTGGGAGACTGAGGCAGAATTGCTTGAACCCAGGAGGTGGAGGTTGCAGTGAGCTGAGATCACGCCACTGCCCTCCAGCCTGGGAGACACAGCAAGACTCCATTTCAAAAAAAAAAAAAAAAAAAAAAAGTGAGACATTTGCAAGTGAAGGGATAGAGTGTGTGTGTGTGTAGAGCAGAGATGGGGGAGGGCAGCACAACTGAGCAGTGGAAAGGACAAGCTGTTTGGGGTTTGCTGTTGCTGTAAAGACAGGCCAGGGTCAAATCTCAGAATACTTCTTTTTTTTTTTTTGAGATGGAGTCTTGCTCTGCTGCCCAGACTGGAGTGCTGTGGCATGAACTCGGCTCACTGCAACCTCTGCCTCCCAGGTTCAAGTGATTCTCCCACCTCAGCCTCCTGAGCAGCTGGGACTACAGGCACACGACACCACACCCAGCTCATTTTTCTATTTTTAGTAGAGATGGGGTTTCACCATGTTGGCCAGGCTAGTCTCAAACTCCTGACCTTGTGATCCACCCACCTCGGCCTCCCAAAGTGATGAGATTACAGGTGTGAGCCACCGCGCTGGCCCAAAATACCAACTTTTAAGGGAGCAGACAGAGGAAGAGAAGTCCAAGCTGACTAGTTGGAAACTAAAAGCAAAACATGGTGATAATATTGTCCTTCCATGATGGAGTTATTCTTAGAATCACCGCCCTTGATCATTATACTTTTGAAGATCATTTAAATTTACTGTTTTGCAATATTCCCTTGACTAGAAAATTAAATTCTACCTAGCACTATTATCAACCAAACTCAACTCGTATCTGCCCTCTGAAGTCCTGCAGACAAACCTTTGAAGTTGGAAGCCAGCTGATGTGAACTAATTCAGCCGTCTTCTTGGATTAGAGGTTCCCAGTTCCTCCAACAGTTTGTCTTATGATGATTTTCAGCCTTCATTTCTAGCAGTCATCTCCTGGACATACTACAATTTGCCCACAAGCATAGCAAGCCATCCTCTGGAATTATTAGAATGTTTGTGCACAGTACACTAGAATTATCACATTTCTTGTTTTGGAGACTACACTTTTATTAATGCAGCCTAAAATTAAGTTTACAAGCAGCAACATTAAACTATTAGCTGTTTGAATACATAGCTAAAATGTACTGCCTCCTCCCCGAACATAAACATGTAGCCAACTCTTCTCCCCACAACCTATACTTTCCTTTTTTTTTTTCTGAGACAGAGTCTTACTCTGTCGCCCAGGCTGGAGGGCTGTGGCCGGATCTCAGCTCACTGCAACCTCCGCCTCCCGGGTTTATGCCATTCTCCTGCCTCAGCCTCCCGAGTAGCTGGGACTACAAATGCCTGTCACCTTGCCTGGCTAGTTTTTTGTATTTTTTAGTAGAGATGGGCTTTCACCGTGTTAGCCAGGATGGTCTCGATCTCCTGACCTCATGATCCGCCCGTCTCGGCCTCCCAAAGTGCTGGGATTACAGGCTTGAGCCACCGCGCCCGGCCCCCAACCCGTACTTTTCCAATTGATTTTTGTTTAGCTTAATTGTAGGTTTCAAATTTCTGCTTTTTTCTTTTACTCGTATGAAAACCTTTAGCCCTTTCATCATGGGGCATAAAACGGCCAAGACACCTGATAATAGAAAAAAAAAAATCATAGACAAACATGTAGCAACTATCAGACCATGGTGAATGTAAAGAATAGACCCTCATGAGGCCGGGCGCCGTGGTTCACACCTGTAATCCCAGCACTTTGGGAGGCCGAGGTGGGTGAATCACCTGAGGTCAGGAGTTCGAGACCAGCCTGGCCAACATATTGAAACCCTGCCTCTACTAAAAATACAAAAAATAGCCAGGCATCGTGGCACGCACCTGTAATCCCAGCTACTTGGCTGGCTGAGGCAGAATTTTTTGAACCTGGGAGGCGGAGGTTGCAGTGAGCCAAGATTGCGCCATTGTACTCTAGCCTGGCCACAGAACAAGACTCCATCTCAAAACACAAACAAACAAAAAAGAATAGAACTTCATCAAACTCCAGGCCTCTGGAGAATATTTTGATCCAGCTACAAGCTTCTGGTTCTATTGTCAATGTCCAACCTTAATAAGAAAATGGATTAAAGATAGGACATGTGGCAGCCATTGCCTGATTGGTTAATTCTTTTTCTTGAATTGCTTGCTTATTGATTAGAACTGTTTTCCCATTCCCCTCTGAAATCTCTAAATGATGGAAAAGTTCAAGTTCCTTCAGTGACACAGGACAGGGGCTCAGTCAAACCCTGGAATGATTCTCAGTCAAATGTGAAGCAAACAGAAAAATTCTTACACACTTAGGAAAGACATGGCATAAAAGTCAACCTCAGAAAGACAGGTAACATTACCATATGGTACCTCCAGCAGAAAGACAGGTAGCATTGCCATATGGTACCTCCAGCTGAAGGCGGAGGACATGAACTCATAAAGGAGGCCATCTGCTCAGTTCTGTGCAGAGGAAGGCTTGCCATGTCCACTCTGTTAAGCCAAGGTTATCAGATTGGTTCTCTATAGTTCCCACATCCTTGTGCATCTTCCTACCTGTGCCCTATTAATAGACAGGCGCTGTTTGATGCATTTGCTGAAGCCAAAACTGCTTGGGTTTGGGTTCTGGCTCCACAATTTACTGGTATCTGTGGCCTTCAGGAAACAACCTGTCTATAAAATGAAGTTAGTAATAGTACATATCTGAGCTGTGAGCAAAAATCTTAATACCTATAAATCACTCAGAGCAGAGCCAAGCACATACAATGGACTCAGTGACTGTTAAGATACTATTTCTTCAGTGTTCCTTGGCTCCAACTCATTTCTAATTGTAAAGGTCCTCTATTGCTTGTTTGGCTTCCCCAGCATAGACAAATCTGGGCTGAGTTGTTAGCACGTAGATGGGTGAAGACATTTTTTTTTTTTTTTTTTGAGACGGAGTCTCGCTCTGTCGCCCAGGCTGGAGTGCAGTGGCCGGATCTCAGCTCACTGCAACCTCCGCCTCCCGGGTTTACGCCATTCTCCTGCCTCAGCCTCCCAAGTAGCTGGGACTACAGGCGCCCGCCACCTCGCCCGGCTAGTTTTTTGTATTTTTTAGTAGAGACGGGGTTTCACCACGTTAGCCAGGATGGTCTCGATCTCCTGACCTCATGATCCGCCCGTCTCGGCCTCCCAAAGTGCTGGGATTACAGGCTTGAGCCACCGCACCCGGCCAAACATAATTGTTATGGTCCCAAATTTCTACTGATTGGGAAGACAAGGCAACTTCCTCCTGCATACACTTTATTCACACATGCTAAATCTCACTAAACAGATCACACTGTCAGGGAAGATGGCTAAGGAGAAGCTAGGGTTGTCAAGGTAATCCTTGCTTCTGCCGTGTTTTGCAACAAGGTAATAAACAGCCAGAACAGACTAGGGTGAAGCAGGTAAGGGTGAGGAGAGAACGCAGTGCAGTGCAGGGTGTGGAAGGCAGCTCACAGTCAGGGAGGCAGCAGTTCTAGCCAATCAACACTTTATTTTTCAAGTCAACACCTGCACAGATGTTACTGTCCACTTCCTGACCCTAGTAGGGGGTCCCACTACACTTGGATCACCCAGAGGAGCAGTAAGGAAGCTCCTCATCTCAAGACACAGCGCATGCTCACCAACTCCAGTGCTGGCACATGTACTGTGGGATCCCTGCTCTCCTGCATCATGAAAGGCCGGGCTGAATGGGGCAAGGATGCAGTGAAGGTTACACAGACTACAGTGACTTAACAGTGTAACTACTGGCCTGACCCACTGCCCCAGGTTTACTTTTTACTTCCCAGACCAGGAGCCTCCCTAAAGCTTGGCCAGTGCCCATGGGATAGGAGGAGCTGGCAAAGGATGGGGTTGAGCTGCTAAGGACAGGACACAGCAGGGAAATAAAGCAGAAAGGAACACGAGAGAAAAATTATAAAGTGCCTTAACTAAACAACCAAGTGGGACATGAGGGCACAGCAGCACAGGTCCCTGAGGATAGGAGGAAAAAGAAAGGGCCAGACCACCAGGGCTTGGGGCATAGTGGAATGAGAATAGAGATGAGGCAGGGAGGCAAGCACAGGCTGTGGGAAGGACTTCCCTAGCCCTGTTCACATCCACTAACCCAAATGGAAAATTATTTACAAATTTAAAACCAATCCTAGGCACAGGTACTGCACCATGCCCCCAGGACAGCAAGCAGGCAGGCAGGCAGAGGGTGGAATGGCTACCATCTGACAGCCAGCTTCCCCACGCACTGCCCCTCCCCAGAGTGGTAGGCAAAGGAGGAAACAGCAACACTCCTAGCCAGGAAGCCCTACTGTGCCTGCAGCTCCTTCCCCAGTGGCTCACGGCTCTGCCACGGCCTGAGCTTCTTGGTCTGACTGTACCAGAGAATGGGTGTCGGGCCCCAAGGGTGGAGCATCAGGGGGTTTTGGGGGTGTCTCTGGCTCCAAGCCCAGCTCTGCATTCAGCTGCTCCAGCTCCCCCTGATCCAGCAACTCAAAGTCCTCAGTGGTGAGTGCCTCTTCTTCCTCAGGGGCAGGCAGGGGCTGGGGTGAGTCCTGGGGAATAGGTGGGAGAATGGAAGGGGAGGGGGCCGGGTCACTTCCAGCAAGGCAAAGGGGAGGTGACAGGGTGCTGGGCAGAGCAGTGAGGCCACCACTCACTGTCTCGGGGCTCAGTGTCTCCACTGGTCCTCCAGGGGAGCATTTCACTCCATCTGGTGGGGACCCTGCCCCATTGAAGTGCGTGTTCACAAAGTGGAGGGGGGATGAGAGCCGAAGCAAGGTTTCCTTAGCTGCCACATCTTCTTCCTCTTCCTCTGAGTCCAGGGCTTGCCTTGACAAGGCTTGAGGACGGCCCAGTAGGTCTTCGGGAGGGGCCAGCTCTGCCTCCTCTCCCTCCCCTAGGTCCCGGCTTAGGGTCTCCTCTGGTTCACTTGGCAGGCTCTGCTGGTCCAAATCTGTGCAGAGAACAAAGAATTAGGGATGGGCCTGCTGCTGCTCTGATTAGCCACAACAGCCAATGAGTTTAAGGATGAGAATTCAAGACATGGAAAGCTGGGCCAAGCCCTAGGTGTTAAGGTCTTTTTGGAGCTGAGTAGAATTAGAGTCAGTGGGCCAAAGAGCACAGCAAGTACCCATGGTAGATAACACAAAGATTGTGGGGGGTGCAGCAGGGCAACAAAGGGCTCCCCGTACCCTCAGAGACATCAGTCAGCTGCGGAGTTGTGGCCCGGGATACGGAGAAGCCACCACTCTCCAAGATAGAAGCCTCTTCATCTGACAGCTCTGAGTCTGTAATGGCCAAGGCCAATGCTGTTTTCTTCACATCCACCTGGCAGGAGAACCAGGATGAACACGACATGTAAGGGGCTAAGAGAACCAATTTATCAGGAGCATCCCCTCTCCCAAAACCTCTGGCTTCCACATCCTTTGGAGGTGGCAGCTCCAAAGCAGAAATATTTTTCCTCTGGCTTTCTGTTTGACACCCCGTCTTCCCTGGACCTCACCACTGGGGAGAAGCCAGCCAGCTCTGCCTCGCTTTCACTCTCTGTCTCTGCCAGTGGCTCATCACCTCCTGGGGGTGCATTCTTCCCTTGCCGCTCTAGAAAAGCAAGAGTAGTAGAGCAGTGACCAAGCATGAATGATGGGAGGGGAGACAAATACAGTTAAAGAACTGGAGAAGATCTCAATTCCAGGGCATCGCATGAGCCCCAAGCCAAGGCCCGCCCGCTCTTTCACCCTCCTGGATTAGGGCAGCCCCTTACTCCTCTTGTCGTGTTTGTGATGCAGGGCATTGGCTTCTGCCTTCATGCTGTAGTCCAGCTGCATGAGCAGGGGCTCCAGGCGAGTGTACATCCTCTGGATCAGCTCATGATAAACCACCAGGGGCCACAGCAGGATACTCAACACTATGGGTTAAGAATGTCAACTAAGAGTTCCCTACGTCAATTTCCTAAGAGCCCCCATTCACCTGGTCCCTAAACTGAAGTGCTGAAGGCAGGCAAGGTCCTTTCCCAAGTCTGTGCCAACCTCTTCTTGCCACATCCACTGCCCTCCTCCCCAGGTTAAGTCTTCCACAGTTACTAATACTAAAGCATCCCTGGAGATCTCTACAAATCAGAAACTGAGCAGAGAGACCATAGTCTTTCCTCTGGGTCAGTCCAAGGAAAGAAGAAAGGAGAGGGCTTTAAATAGGGCAGGGACAGACCCTACTCACAGACAATGTAGGAAATCATAATCCCTGGAACATAGTGTCCCAGCACAGCCAACACAGCACAGCCAGAGCAGACTCGAACACAGAACTGCAGAGAAGAGCACAAGTCTAAGAACAACACGCTGAGATATGCGCCCCGCTCAGCTGGGTAAAAAACTACTGCTCAGCAGGTAGGATAGGTATGTCCTCGAGGAATGGGGTGGTCCAGTTTGCTTAAGAGGATGCTCAAGACCACCAATTCAGGAAGCTGCCAATAGATAGTACCCACCACCTATAATTCACACTTGTCTGCCTTGGCAGGAGAAAAGCGTCAGGCTATCAGAAGCTTATTTCCTGAGGTGAGACTGCCTCCTGCACCAGGGACTAGCTGTGAATGTTGCCTCAAAAAGGCGCCCAGGCCTCTTCTTTCAGGGTCTTCAACCCGGGAATTTACATCGCTCTGCTCCCATTCCCCGCCACCTCTATACCCCTTCAGTGTAGTGAACTGTTATATGATGTAGGGGAGGTTACCTGAGCTGGATTCTGCCTCTTGTACTGCAGCAGCTCCTGCAGGTGAATCTGGAAGGTGAGCCAGCTCTCAGCCAGGTATCTGCACAACTCGGGCACACTCAGCAGGTGCGGCCGGGCGCCTGACCCCGCACCCTCACTGGGGAGACATGACATAACCCCTGGAGGCCTCAGATACCAGATTCCTAAACACTTAAATCCCTCTGAGTATGCCAATGATATTTTAGTCTAAAAAAGCAAACAACCCCACCTCCCAAAAGGAGGCTGTCCTGGTCTTAGGAAGCAAAGCCAGGAGGAACCAACCCTCTGCCCCAAAAGAAGCAGGCACAAAACCACCTACACAGGTGCCTAGGACCATGAAAAACCCATGGCTTGTTACCAGTTCATTCACAATGCTGGGGCACTGCCCTGCTCCTTGGTGACACCGGCACCGGCAAGCAGGACAGGATGTGGGCATTTGTCTTCAAGAGGTGGCCTCTACTCACCTGTCAGAGTGTGGCTCCTCTGGGGATGATGCTAAAGAGAGCGGAGAGGGGCAAATTATTGAGTGGTAGGGGCCCTGGGAGACACTTCCCAAGGCAGAAATAGCTGTCCCTCCTCTGCAGCCCCAGAGCACTTTCTTCAGATACCAATGGGGGAGCTGTTACATGTTTTTGTTTGCCTCTGTCTCCTTCTTTAGACATTAATCTTCTCCAACATGAGAACTACATTTTACTCATGTTTATCTCCCAAGCAACTCACACAAAGCCTGTCACCTATTAAGCAAATTATATGGATAACAAGAAAAACAACACTGACATTCTATTTATACAGCTTACATGTAAAGCACTATCATAAGCATAGGATGTGTATTAACTCATTAATCCTCTTCTCACCTCTCTATGAAGTAAAATCTATCATCCGCGTTTTACAGATAAGGAAATTGAGGCAAACAGAAATTGGGCTACTTTTACAAGGTCACAGACATGGTAGGTGGCAGAGCAGGGAATGGAACCCAGGCAATATGGCTGCAGACTTCACCATCTTAACCACTGCACCTACAGTAGCATTAATTTGGGAAAGGGGCAATTTTCATTTTAGGGAATTCCCTACAAAAAGGAAGTGGGCTATGCCTGGGAGGCAGGTGGCCTGCTGTACGTTCCCCTCACCATTTAACTCCACCCAGCGGAATCAGGCACCAAGCAAGTGCCCAATGGGTGCTTACCGAATGAAGAAACACTCACCTGACACGTCAGGGAGAAAGCGAGGCTGCCAGAGATCCAGCAGAAAATAGGCCAAAAGTGAGACGCTGAGTAGGAAAAAGGGCCGGAGGGACGAGGAAGACAGCAACCTTAGGGAGAGACAGGCACCTCAGCAGTGAGTGGGTGACAGAGACTCATGCATCCATCTCAGAAGGTGGAAAGGCGCCTACTGATGGGGGAATGGCACCTCCAGGCCTGACTCGCGACTCGCGACTCACGACTCAGAGACGGAAGAAATCTAAGGGGATGTCAGCCTGCAAACACTGGGTACGGGTCATGCCCCCCAGGCCAAGTGATAACCCAGAAAGGGGAATGGTGCTCTCGACCCCTCCCTCCCAAGCTCTCCCGCTCATCCCGGCCCCGCCCCCTCCTCCGCGGCCGTTACCAGAAGAGGCCGTTGAGCGCGGCAGCCGTGACCAGGCTGTGCAGCGGCTTCTCCCACACCAGCAACCGCTGCGCCGCCGCCAGCACCGCCTCCCAGCCGCGGAGCCGCAGCCACAGCGTCGTGGCCAGGCGTCCCACCGCCTCGGCCGTGGCTGCCTCCTCCTCTGCCTCGCTGGTGGCCTCACTCATGCCTAGGCTCAGACCCAGACCCAGGCCGAGGCTCAGGCCCATCCCCGGCCCCGCACCCGCGCCGGTGTTACCCCCGCCACCGCCGCTCGCCATAGCCCCGCCGCAGCCGCCGCCCGAGCCCGCGAGGAGCCAGGGCTGCGCGGCCGCCGCCGGGGGCGCGTCAGGCGGAAGGGGGCGCCGCGGAGGACAGCAGAGGCTGCGGACGGGCGTCACGTGACGGCGGAGCGCTGAGCCCGTCACGTGACGCGGCCTAACCGCCCGGATAGGGCGGCCCGCGCGTGCGCGCTGGCAGCTGCCGCTGACTCGTCGGCGGCCGCTGACCCTTCGCATGCACAGGTTCGTTTTCTGGTCGCCGAAGTCACCCGGGGTCCAAGTCCGGGTCCCGGTCCGGGCAGTCGAGCCCGTTTTCTTATCCCACAGTGGGCAGGGCGGCTAGGGAGTGTGGTGCTGCCCCGGTATCCACGGTGTGGAGCAGGAAGTGGGCTTCCAGACTCCCAGTATCCCCAGTAGGATCTGCTTCTGCTCGGGAAGGGCGGTGGCCGTCCCATTACTCAACCCTCATCGCACTGGCCCTCCCAGTTCCCTCCCCTCAGTGGGCAAACAAACACACCAGCGCGTGACTCGACAGACTCGAAAACAGCTTCATCAACTCAGAAAAGTTGTTGATTTCCTATCTCCTTAAACGTTCCCACTTCCACATACCGGAGCTCCTTCCCACCTCGGCCTACTCAATCATGAGATCGGAGGCGGGAGATGGGTTAAAAACAAAACCTTGGGTGGGTGCAGTTTACTTTTGGGTGGACGTGTTGACACGTTTTTGAGGCCTTACATTCGCTTAAGATCACAATTTCCGCAGTAGCCTTAGGTTTAAAAGTTCAAATTACACTACAAAACAAAAAACCCTGAGTTTCTCTTCCTTTTCATAGTTCACCCACTGCTAAATGTCGTGTATCCTTTCAGACGCTTTTCATATGCATTGCTAAGTGTGTATAATCTCTCCTTCTAAAAAGCAACTAGGAACAGCTTCCTGTTGTGCGTTTCCTTTTATTCACATTAACTTCTCCATTGCTACGGAAAGGTCCTACTGGCTTGTTCATCCTCAGTGCGGCGTGCTCCCCTAGGAAGTGTCCCCATTTCTCAGGGGCGCCTGGGGCTCAGCTCTGGGACTTGGTCACGTTCGGTGAGACCAGGAGTTCGAGTCCGGCTCCTGCCCGCGGGTCGGCGCGGGAGGCTGGGCTAGACTGGAGGCAGAAAGTGCCAGGCGCTGACTTGCGGGCGGCACCCCAGCGGCTTGTAAACGCCGGGCGGACGCGGCACAGGCGGAATACGCGCCTCGCAGCCGGGTCTCTTTTGCTCCGCGAGGTGAGCGCAGCCCGGCTGCTCGACGCCTCGCTTCCCTGGCCTAGGGCCTCGCTCCGCGCCAAGCCCGGGGCGGAACAGGAAGAGGCGCCCGCCAGCCCGGGCCCCGCCTTCCGCTGTCCGGGGAGGGAGCTGCGAGGGCGAGGGCGGCGGCCAGCCCGGGGAGGCAGGCGGGCAGGTGGACAGGCGGGCAAGGACAGCTCCGCAAGCCCCCTACAACTCGTTTCCTTCCGTTCACCTTCGCAGGGCGGCGACTGGCGGTGCGATGGACCTGACCGGGCTCCTGCTGGACGAAGAAGGCACCTTCTCCCTCGCCGGCTTCCAGGACTTCACGGTGAGTGGGCGGCCCGCCCCTTCCCCAGCCTCTCGGCGCGCCCCTCCGGGCCCAAGCGGCGCCGCGAGCTCTCCTGACTGCTGTGCCGGGATTGGGCGGCAGCTGCTCGAGCAGTGCCTCCTCGAGGCCGCGGCCGCTTGGGCCCGGAGGGAGAGTCGCGGAGTATAGGAATGGGGGTAGGGGTGGCCACACGAGGGCCCTTCTCGGAGAACTTCTTCCAGGGAGCCCTCGATGGGGGTGAGGGTATTCCTCCCTCTGTGGACCAGGCTGCCATTGGCAAACGATTGACAGAACGCCGGTCTGGGTGAGGCACGGGCCCCCTGGCAAGCGAGGCCGGACTGTCCCCCGCACCGCCTTCCAGCCCAGAGCCAGGAGCTGCATCATACCTTTCCCTGCCCTTCACCCTCCACTGCCCCTGCCCTGTTTCAGTTCCTCCCAGGACACCAGAAGCTGAGTGCCCGGATCCGAAGGAGGCTCTACTATGGCTGGGACTGGGAAGCCGACTGCAGCCTGGAGGAGCTCTCCAGCCCGGTGGCAGGTTAGGCAGTGTTTTGTGACTGGACAAGTGAGAAGCATGAAAATGGGGTTGTCATCAGCCACTAAAATGACTCGAGGTTTGCCCCGTGGCTGCACTGTCTCTTCATTGCTAGCTTGTTGGTACTTGGTTCAAGAGGGCAGTTTGCATTTCTCATTCTTATTAGTCCAAATGAATAAAAAACATTGCTGCCACATATGTCTATATAAATCACTCTTGATTTATGTATTGAAAACTTAATTTTCCAAGGATATCCATCATACGTTTCCCAAATAAACAAGGCATGTTTATGCCACAGATGAACAGCAGCGGTAGACAAATCTGGATAGTTTCACGTGACAGCAATAAGCTTTCCTGTTAGAATGAGCTGAAATTCAAACTTGGAATGGGCTTTTTGTCTCAGTGTGGGAGAATTTGATCTCTATTTTGTTACTATGGTCCTGTCCCCAAGGCCTCAGAAAATACAGATCTGGCTCTTCTGCTAGCAGTGGGGACTGGTGTGTTGTGGATGGGTGCTTGTTTGCTCACTCGGCCTTCCTTCTGTCCCTTGCAGACATTGCTGTGGAACTGCTCCAGAAGGCAGCCCCCAGCCCTATTCGCCGACTCCAGAAGAAATACGTAGCTCATGTGTCCCGGTGAGCCTGGAATTGAGGATAGGATGAGAGTGTTTGGGCCCTAGAGAAAGGGGAATCGTTTTTTCTTTCTTTTCTTTTCTCTTTTTTTGAGATAGTCTCGCTCTGTCACCCAGGCTGGAGTGCAGCAGCACAACCTCGGCTTACCGCAACCTCTACCTCCTGGGTTCCAGTGATTCTTGTGCCACAACCTCCCCAGTAGCTACTACAGGCACATGCCACCGCCCTTGGCTAATTTTTGTATTTTTAGTAGAGATGGGGTTTCACCATGTTGGCCAGGCTGGTGTCGAACTCCTGGCCTCAAATGATCCACCCACCTTGGTTTTCCAAATTGCTGGGATTATAGGCATGAGCTACTGTGCCCAGCCAAGAATAGTTTTTTTTCCCCAAAGATAAGAGGTAAAGACAGGAGCAAGCATCATAAGACTTGCAAGAACTGAAGAACCCTTGGGTTTAATTAGTGATCCTTTCTACCACCCAGGGAGGCATGTATCTCCCCATGTGCTATGATGCTGGCTCTGGTGTACATTGAACGGCTCCGCCACCGAAACCCAGACTACCTGCAGCACGTGTCATCCTCTGACTTGTTCCTGATCTCCATGGTAAGATACCCCCTCCCCGTCTCCCTAGAGAGCCAGGAGCCTGCTGTGAATTCTGTTCCACCACTTCTGGTTCCTCTGCAGATGGTGGCCAGTAAGTACCTCTATGATGAAGGGGAGGAGGAGGAGGTCTTCAATGATGAATGGGGAGCTGCTGGGGGTGTGGCCGTGCCCACTCTCAATGCCTTGGAGAGGGGCTTCCTGAGTGCCATGGTGAGTAGCTGTTCTCTCTCTCGCTCAGTTTCCCTGACCCGTCTTTAATCATCCTTTAGTCCTTTGTTCTCTCTCAGTCTTCTGTTGGTTTATCATTCCTCTTTCTGTCTTCTTGTGCTTTTGTGTTAGTGTCTTCCTTTCTTATCTCTTCAGTACTAACCACAGGTTTTGGAGATTCCTAGAGCAGTGAGACCAGGAGCGGAACATTTCCTCACCTCTATTCCTCCAGGGCCCCACAGGGTACACTCTGAGTCAGAGTTTATCCTATTGGGTTCTGAGTATTCGTGTCCATACTTTCTCTCCCCCTAGATGTTTAGCTCCTTGTGGGCACGGACCATTCTCAGAGTCATTTTCTCCCCTCTTAGTGGAGGGTATAATGTGAAACCAGGCAGGTGGTGATTCAATGAATTAATGTGTAAAAGCTTTTGAGACAGTATCTGGCACATGGTAAGTGCCAAATACGCATTAGCCATAGTGGCGGTTGTAGTTCTTGCTATGGCTCTTATTATTAAATGACTGTGGTTCATCCAAGTCTGGTTTGATGTCCTCTCTCCTTACTCACAGGATTGGCATCTCTACACTGACCCTCGGGAGATTTTTGAGGTGCTGAGCTGGTTGGAGAGCTGGTAGGTTCTCGAAGTTGGGAAGAAGGGCTCGAGGGATTTGGGGACTGAGGCCTCAGCCATAGGAGCTAGAGATGAGAGTCTCTGTAACTGGGGGAGGGAGGAGACAAGAAAGAAAATTGCCAAGATAGTGGTTCTCAGACCTGTCTGTCCTCTTCTTCATCACCCTGGGGAAGGTGAGAAGCAGCTTATTTAAAATACATGTCTTGGGTGGGTATGGTAGTTAGGTCTGTAATCCTAGCACTCTGGGAGGGCGAGGCAGGAGGATTGCTTGAGTCCAGGAGTTCGAGATCAGGCTGGGCAATATAGCAAGACGCCTGACCCTACCAGAAAAAAATATTAGCCAGTTGTAGTGGTATACACCCATAATCCCAGCTACTCAGGAGGCTGAGATGAGAGGATCACTTGAGTCCAGGACGTCAAGTCTGCAGTGAGCTATGATTGCACTACTGCACTCCAGCCTGGAAGACAGCAAGATCCTGTCTTAACAAAATAAATAAATAAAAATAAGATATAGGTCTTGGTCTCACCCTTAGTTTCTGATCAGCATATAGCCTAGGAATCTGGATTTAACAAGCTTCCCAGTGTTTCCTGGTGAGTCCTGAGTGGTATGAGGATGCCACTAGGCTGGCTGTAGGACAGTTGCATACTCTTGTCATTCTCCACTTCCCCCAGTGTGGCTGAGCAGCAGGGACAGCGGCGAGGCTGGTATACCTACACAGACCTGTGTGTACTGCTGGAGCAGCCAACCTGGCAGTTGGCCCTGGGCTCCCTCTGCCAGCGGCTGGTAAAGGTGAGGAGGGGCTCGGAAGGATAGGGAGCTTGAGCAAGCCGGTGTGTAGGGTGGGATGGTGTGAAGTGATTGCTGAAAGGCCCAGGATATGGGGTTGGGAATAGATGGGCAGAGTGGGGTATAAATGGCTATAGAGACCTCCAGCTGGAACACAAGTTTCTAGAGACAAGGGGTGAATGTGTTAAAGACAGAATCCTTTTTTACCTCCTCTCCTGCAGCTGTCCTGCCTGTTAGCTGTGGCATATGTGAGCAGTGTGGCCCTGGCTGTGGCATCGGTGGCCATAATACATCAGTCCTTGGGGCTGTCCTGCACCCCTGCACCTGGGCCGCCTGACCTTGGACTGACCTCCCATTGCCTCCTGGCGCCCTGCATAGCTTCTGTGCCACAGTGCCTGCCGCCTCCCGCTAATGTCTCCAGCTGCCTGAAAGGCAGCACAGGGCTGCGGTCACTCTGGGGCAGTCTTCTGGCCTCACTGACTCCTCCACCATTGCCTCCCCCAGACCCCCCTGCCCCTCCCACTCTTCTTCATAACTGCCACCTTTGTCAGAAGCTCCAGAGAGACTCCCCAACCTGCCATGCCTGCCACCACCCCAACCATACGGTCCCCACTGTGCTGTCCAGCCCCTGGTACCATACCTATGGCCTGGCTCCCCACTGGCCTTGGAGCCCGGTGCCCCCGTCACTTCCTCAGCCTCAGCGATGTTCCCTTTTCGGTGTCATGGAGCTGGCTCGCCTCAAGTCTTTCATTTTCCCAGGCTAGGTAGGGCTGCGAGGAATGCATTAAGAGGGTTTGGGAGTTTCTGAGAGCCTGGAGGAGCAAAGCTTGATTTAGAACCTGTCTGCCTCTCTGGGTCCTTGGCAGGTCCCCTGTCCTCCTGGGTGGGAGCTTACGGGGTGGTGGGGCAGAAGGACTGAAGGTCACTCCTAGATCTTAGTGGCTGGCTGCTTGGCCAGGACAGTGATGGTGCCAGGGAGAACTTCTGCTTGGTGACCAGGGACATGTCCCAGATGGACACAGGAGAAGCCCCTCTCTGCCTACCTGGGATTTTCTAGACTTTTACTTTTGAGTTCTCTAGGATGGAAGGGTATAGGTGGGAGATAAGGGAAGTGGGGTGAGAGGAGAAAGGATATGTTGGCATGGGCCCGTGTGATGTCCCTGAAGCAGAAGAGCCAGGGACTGATGGGGTCAGGTGGGAGCTGCTGGGTGAGGCAGGGAACCTTTTCACTCCCATTCCTTAGCTTTAGTCTAATGGAGCCAAGGACTGCTGGGACCTTCAACCCTGACCTTTTGTCATCCAGTCTTCTAGTGTCCTGCTCCTAGGTTCCCTTCTCTTCTGGTTCCTCTCCCGGGTGTTCTCTTCCCAGGCCTCTCTGGCCACTGCTTTGTATCAGGGTTTTTCACGCTTTTGTAGAACTGAGGTTTCAATAAACAGTTTCAGTTGCATGGCCTGGACTTTTCCTTCTGCGGCAGCCCTTGAAGATCTTTCCTCCCTGTATCTGCCATCCAAGCCTCCCTGCTCCCTGATCCTGTATCTCACAAACTCTCTTCTCAGCCTCATCTTAGGACTTTCCTATCGTTTGATAGGCGTAACCTCCCATTTCCAACTTTGTTCCTGCTCCTAGGACCCTGGGCCCTTAGTACTGCTCAACTTGGGGTGCCATGGGACACACAGGGTGACTGTCCTGTGCCTGAGTTGGCCGTCTGTCACTTTTTCTGGGTGAGCACTCTCCTTGTGGATCCCGAAGCACATCTCGTGGAGAGGGGCCAGGCCTTGTATCCAGCAGAGCCTTGTGAGCTCCTGAAGGCAAGCCACCAGGACGCTTCTCTCTCCTGACCTCCTAACTGGTCTGACACATGGTGATGGTCACATGGTGCCTAACAATTCCAAGAACTTGAAGAACTCCAAGGCTGGGTCATCACTGGAAGAAGGAAAACAATCTGGGCAGCTTGGCTGAGGGTATTTGGGACTGCTGAGGATCCTTCTTGGAAGAGGTGGTTCTGCCCCCTAGGGAGTATTTTGGAGATTTATGGGCCATTTTTTCATTGTCAAAAGGATTCGAGGGAATGCTACTGGCATTTCCTCAACCTGGGCGGGACGCTAGACATCCTGAAATGCTCGGACCTCCCTTGCTGTGAAGAATTCCCAAGACAACTTTTGAATGACTAGCTTTATGTATATGAAAACCCTATTTATCTGAGCCTAGAACAATCTTTGCACATGTAAACGTGAAATAGTGTTTGTAGCATTCTGAAAACACTCAGTTTGCTAGGAATTCATTCCCTTGTAAATTAAAATGACTTTGTTTTGCTTGGCACCTTTTAACCAAGAGTTTGTTTGCATTTTGGAAAATCGGGTTACAACATCAGAGTCACCAATAAAGCACCAATATCAGCTGGCATTGCAGCTGTTGCAACCACAGCGATTCTCATAGGGTGTGGGATTGGACTACTTCATTGTACTTCATTGTCTTCTGGTTTAGTTGTGCTTAAGCCTTCACATAATGAAATACATGTTACTATAAATTTTATTCTTTACAGTGAGCACGTTTCAGGTAGTTGTGGTTGTCACATGTGATGTAGGATATATTATCCACAAGTTTCTTGTTTTCTTTTTTTATTGACACAGTCTCCCTCTGTCACCCAGGCCGGAGTGCAGTGGTGCGGTCTCAGCTCACTGTGACCTCTGCCTTCTGGGTTTGAGCAATTCTCGTGCCTCAGCCTCCCGAGTAGGTGGGATTACAGGCATGTGCCACCACATCCAGCTAAGTTTTGTATTTTTAGTAGAGATGGTTTTACCATGTTGCCAGGCTGGTCTTGAACTCCTGACCTCAAGTGATACACCCAGTGTGGCCTCCCAAAGTGTTGGGATTACAGGCATGAGCCACCACACTCACCCCACAAGTTTCATTTTGAAGTAGTCCAGGGGCCTTGGTACTGCAAGGGGTGAGGACTGTGGATCAAATAGTGATGGTTTTAAATGGAAGGGAATAAAGTCTGCAAAATTTCCCCAGATTATTTTGAAGAGCTCCTCTCCTCCCTACCCCTCCTATCCTACTTTCTACAGCCTGGTCTAGGGACAGGAAATCTGGAAGAAGATTCTCGGAGGAGGGCCCCAGAACTCAGCTCCCCAGTTAATGGCTGATGGAATTTGCACAACAGCTGGGCAAAGGTGAAAAGGCGGTGCCCTGCCCCAAATTCCTTATACCTTTGCTCCGCTTCATTGACACTCCCACCCTCTCCCCACCTTCTCCCCACCCCAGGCTTCACCCAAACTCTGACCTCTTACTTTCTACTTAACTCTGGTCCCAGGCAGCCAAGACAAAGCGAAAGGCAGGGCAGCATGAGCCGATCACCCCTCAATCCCAACCAACTCCAATCAGTGGGCTCCCAGGATGCCCTGGCTCCCCTGCCTCCACCTGCTCCCCAGAATCCCTCCACCCACTCTTGGGACCCTCTGTATGGATCTCTGCCCTGGGGCCTCAGCTGTCTTCTGGCTCTGCAGGTAGGAGGCAGAGGTGCAGGAGTTGGTGCTGCCTGATGGTGTGTGTGGGGAAGTAGGTGTAGATGTGAAAGCCTCTGGAAGTATTGCAGGTATTTCCACTTCTCTGAAGACTGCCCTCCCCATTCCTCCACCTGCAGCATGTCTTGGTCATGGCTTCTCTGCTCTGTGTCTCCCACCTGCTCCTGCTTTGCAGTCTCTCCCCAGGAGGACTCTCTTACTCCCCTTCTCAGCTCCTGGCCTCCAGCTTCTTTTCATGTGGTGTGTCTACCATCCTGCAAACTTGGATGGGCAGCAGGTGAGAGGAACCTCCCTGGAGAGAGGGGGCAGAGTCCTGAAGGGTGGGAGAGGTTTGGGGGAGCCTTGTTGGCTGCCACATATTTCCAGACCTGCTGGGGCTGCTGTTCCTACAGGCTGCCTCTTGTCCAGGCTCCATCCTTAGAGTTCCTTATCTCTGCTCTGGTGCTGACCAGCCAGAAGCTACCTCTGGCCATCCAGACACCTGGAAACTGTGAGCACAGAACAAGGGCAATGGGTAATGGTGGGGCTGGGTTCTCATCTGAGCGTGCAGGTGTAGGTGGGTGCAGGATTGAGATTGGGCAGTGGTAAGACTGTGAGGCACTGTAGGGGGCTTGGACCTGTGCCAGGAGTGTTACTGTAGAGCAATGGGTCTCCATCCCATTCATCTTTCTTTTCTCCATGCCCCAAACTTTTCCTAGCCTCCCTCATGATGCACCTGTGTAGGGGACCTAGCTGCCATGGCCTGCGGCACTGGAACACTTCTCTCCAGGAGGTGGGTGTCTAGAGGTGAGAAGGGATAAGGGTGGTGCCAGGCTTCGGGGAGCTCTTCTTTCCATTATGCAGAGACTGAGATGCTCCTGGAAAGGAGTTGGGGGAGGAACCCATATCTAGAATTAGGAAGACCAGGCTGAGGCCAGTTTGATTGAACAGAATGTTTTCTCTCCAACCTCTCCTCTCTTCTACCAGGTGTCCGGGGCAGTGGTGGTATCTGGACTGCTGCAGGGCACGATGGGGCTGTTGGGGAGTCCTGGCCGCGTGTTTCCCCACTGTGGGCCCCTGGTGCTGGCTCCCAGCCTGGTTGTGGCAGGGCTTTCTGCCCACAGGGAGGTAGCCCAGTTCTGCTCCGCTCACTGGGGGTTGGCCTTGCTGTACGTGAGTCCTGAGAGGCATGGGATGGTGCCCAGTGGGGGTGTATGGGAGGACAAGGGGAGGGCAGAGCTGCTGGTCCTACCAGATTCAGCAGCGACTGGAATAGGGACATATTTTATATTTGGAATCCAAGACTTTCCCTTGATTCTTCTGGTCTCCTTGACTTTCACACTGTTTTCTGCTGTCCCCTAAGGTGACTTCCTATTCCTTCCAAGGGAGTTTCCTTCTCTGGGACCACCCCCCACTTTTATGGTATTCTGCCTACCCCCACCTCATTTCCCATGCCTCAGGATACCCAATGCCTCTTGCTCCTAAAACCTTCTCTCTCTTAGGGTTATCCTGCTCATGGTGGTCTGTTCTCAGCACCTGGGCTCCAGCCAGTTTCATGTGTGCCCCTGGAGGCGAGCTTCAGCTTCATCAACTCACACTCCTCTCCCTGCCTTCCGGCTCCTCTCGGTATGTGTGGGTCTGGGCAGGGCAGTAGAGGTCAGAAGGGCTGGCCTGGAGTGCTCACTCCATCCCCTACCTTTTGGCTTCTGTCTAACCCTCCAAGGGTGGCTCAGAAGGTTCTGGGGGAGGAGTTATTTCCTCAGTCTCGCCGCTCAGGTGCTGATCCCAGTGGCCTGTGTGTGGATCGTTTCTGCCTTTTTGGGGTTCAGTGTTATCCCCCAGGAACTGTCTGCCCCCACCAAGGCACCATGGATTTGGCTGCCTCACCCAGGTAGGTTTTCTCCTAGTCCTCCATTCTCTTGTTCAAATAAAGGTATCTATTTATTTGAATTCAAAGAACTTAATGGATTTTATGTCTGAGTTAAATGCTGTGTTTTTTCAAAACATACAGGAGAGAGAAATTACCAGTCTGAGAGACAGACAATGCTAGCCCCTCACTGCAGGTGTTTTGTTGTTGTTGTTGTTGTTTGTTTGAGACAGGGTCTCACCCTGTCACACAGGCTAGAGTGCATGTCGTGATCATGGCTCACTGCAGCCTCAACCTCCCAGGCTCAGGTGATCCTCCCATATAAACCTCCAGAGTAGCTGGGACTACAGGTGTGTGTCACCATGCCGACTTTTGTTTGTTTTTTTGTAGAGACAGGGTTTCAACATGTTGCCCAGGCTGGTCTCAGACTCCTGGGCTCAAGTGATCTGCTTGATTAAGTGCTGGGATTACAGGCATGAGCCACTGTGCCCCATCCCACTGCAGGTGTTTTTTTTGGGTCAGTGTTAGGAGACAGACATCTATTGTTTCTGTAACCCCTGATACTCACTACCAATACTCCTTACCCAATGAACACATTTATATTACCAGCCCCTATGGGCATTTGACTTGGCAACCTATGCATAAAGATTGCTTTTGAGGCGTCGTATGTGAAATTTGCCCATTCTTCTATTTATTTATTTATTTATTTATTTATTTATTTATTTATTTAGACAGGGTCTTGCTGTGTCACCCAGGCTGAGAGCATTGGTGCAAACATGGCTCACTGCAGCCTCAACCTCCTTGGCTCAGGTTATCCTTGTGCCTCAGCCCCACAGGTAGCTGGGATTACAGATGTGCACCACTATGCCCGGCTAGTTTTTGTGTTGTTTTGTAGAGATGGGATTTCACCATGTTGTCCAGGCTGGTTTTTCATTAATTTAATAAGGATCTGTTGAGTGCTGATTATGTGCTAGGCACATGGTAGGGGACATAGTGACGACCATGACAGACACAGCACTTACCTTCAGGGAGCTTACAGTCTATTGGGGAACATAGATACTAAAGAGTCACCCAAAG